CCTTCCTCCCCCCCCCCCCCTGCCCTGCCACCAGCATGACCAGCCTCAGACCCCTACCTCTTCCAAAACTTTTTTTTAAGCACTTTACTATTACAACTCTGGATAGTCTTCTTCTGGGATCTGGTTCATGATTTTTCATATTTGGCGTTGGCAATACTATATGGCAATACTATATTACCTAATGGAGGGTGTTTGATAGATATGAACAACAGTCTAGCCCTGGTCTGCCTGTGGAGAGCAGCAGCAACTGTAACCCCCCTCTTCCAATTATACAAAGAAAAGAGTCTCAACACACAATTTCTTGTGAACCAAAACTGAAGGATTTAGAACAGTTTTGGTAATCCCCCATATAAATAATATTAAGAGATATTATGTACTTTTTTAAGTATAGCAGTGACATCATTTTAAAAGGAAAATGTGATTATTATTATTATTGTCTTATGGTAGACCCAGAATTTTCAGTCAGAATCGGGGCCCCATTGTGATTAATAACACAAGCAGTCATACCGGGTTTCACTGTGGTTGTTGCCAGATGCTTTACAGGAATTGAACAGAACAGGGCAATTTATCAAATGATCCATCCCCTTTCATTCAGTCCAGCCACTAACAGCCAGAGGTTTAGGAGCACCCAGAATGTGGGGTAGGTTGTGTTTTTGACCTTCATGGTTAATAGCCATTGATAGATTTATCCTCCATGAACTTAATTCTTTTTTTAACTCAGTTATATTTTTGTTCTTCACAACACCCCTGGCAACCATGGCTAGAAGTTGGGGTGCTGATGCACCCCTTGGCTTGGTTTCTATGATATGCAGGATTTACTGTTTGAGTCAGTGACTCTCAGCACCTCCACTGTACCAATTCTTCCAAAACTCCTGCTGGCAACAAGTTCCACAGATAGACTTTGTGTTATGAGAAGAAGTACTTCCTGCTGTTCAATTTAATCCTGCTGCCTATTAATTTCATTGAGTGCCCCCTAGTTCTTGGTTATGTAAAGGGGTAAATAACACTTATTAACTATCTCCACACCATTCGTGATTTTATAGTCGCATATTGTATCCTTCCCACCCCCATTGTATCTTTTCCAAGCTGAACAGTCCCAGTCTTTTTAATCTCATCCTATGAACGCTGTTCCATACCCCTAATAATTTTTGTTGCTCTTATCTGTCCTTATCTGTCCTTTTCCCCACTCTCATACATGTTTGATTTTTTTTAATATGGGACAACCAGGTGGGCCCAATGTTTGGGCATAGCATACATTTATATAGTGTCGTTATGATATTTTCTCTTATTATCCAGCTCTTTTCTAATTCTTCTGTTCTTAGCATTGTTAGCTTTTTTGACTGGTGCTGCATATTGAGCATATGTGTTCTGAGAGCTGTCCATAGTGACTCTAAAATATATTTCTTGGGTGGTAACTGCTAATTTAGACCCTCTCATTTTGCATGAATAGTTGGGATTATGTTTTCCAATGTGTACTACTTTGCATTTGATCTGCCATTTTCTTGGTCTTTCACCCAGTTTGTGAGGTCCCTTTATAATTCTTCACAGTCTGTTTTGGACTTAACTATTTTGAGTAATTTTGTACCATCTGCAAACTTTACCACCTCACTCTATATGCCCCTGTTGCCGGATCATTTATAAATATGCTGATATTAAAGATCCCAATACAGATTCTTTAGAGAACTCACTATTTATTTCTCACCACTCTGAATATTGAATATTTATTCCTACCTTTTGCTTTCTATTTTTTAACTAAACTTTGAAAGAACCTTCTTTTTTTCCCATTACAGCTTACTTTGAACACTGGTGTCTCAACTTTTCCAGGGTTCATGCTCCTTTTTATTTTCCTCACTAAGATTTGATTTCCAGTTTTTAAAGGTGTCTTTTGTCTGTAATTGCCTCTTTTCTTTGTTGTTTAGACATGGTCAATTTTTTTGGCCATCTTATTTTTATATGGAAAATATGTACATATAGTTTTAGCTTCTATTATGGTGGGGGGGGGGGAGGTTAGTTTCCCTGCAGCTTGCAGGCATTTCACTCTTGTGATTGCTTCTTTTAATTTCCATTTACCAAATCTTGTTTTTGAGTAGCTCCCCTTTTTGAAGGTAAATATTACTATAGTGAGTTTCTTTGAGTATTTCTCCCCTACAGGGATGTTACATTTAATTTAATTTAATTGTGGTAGCTATTATTGAGTGGTAGTGCCTGGCACTTTACAAGTATAGGTCCTGATCTTACAAGACAGTGATGCAGATGCACACCATTCTCAACTTCAATATATAAGTGAAGAGTGAGAAACAAAGGGACTGTATTATGCTCCCTTATTCATACTGAATAATATTTAAATGTGCTCTATCACCATGAATACAGGTGGCATAAGCAGAAAACAGGCAAGGAGAAAAGACAGAAAGAACATAAGGGCTAACATAGACAAGAAAAAATAATCCCAAGTATTGTTCTCCTGTAAATCTCTGATTGTCCTATTTGAATTATTGTTCTAAAGCAATTATGTGTGACCAATCCAAATATTCACTATTTACCAAGTGGTAAGTTTATGCTTAAACCACGGCAGCAGCACGGCAGAGTACTTCGGTCTATACACTATCTAATCCAACAGGAGGGGTTCTCTAAATAATCCAGCTCCCTGAGAAATGGTAGTTATGTTAACAAAATAATTCTTCTGTTCGAGCACTGCCTACACCAGGAATTAGGTCGGCATAACTATGACATCAGCACGGGAGTGCATTCTTCACAGTCCTGAGAGATATAGCTAAGCTGATGTAAGTTCTCGGTGTAGACCAGCCCCTTATGGTTTTATAGTGCCACCCAACACCATAGTATATCTACACATTTTAAAACCTGTGGCAGTGATTTTCAGAGCACAGGTCTACAGACTCAGGATTCCTCCATGATGCTAAAAACAGCTCTGCAGGTGTGTTATGGGCTGGAGCTTGGCTTCTGAAGCCCTTCCCTATTCCTGGACTTCACATGTCTACACTCATTTTTGTGCTCTGAGACTCGCTGCTTAAAAATACTGGGTAGGATACCTTGAATGCCTTTCATGTGAAACAGATAACAATAATCATGTTTCTACCAAACTTTATGGAATGTTTGACTTTTCTCTATATCCAAAGGGGGGAAAGTTTTGGGGTACATTAAGGTGTCTGTCAATTGGTAGGATGATGTCTGCGTCTAGTTTGGAGATTTTGTTTTGGGATGGTGGTGGTTGGACAGAAAGGTGTCACTGTCAGTGTTACTCTTGCAATGGTAGAAAGGCTTTTACAAAGAAAAAAGATGTTAGTATTTTTTTAAGGATGATTAGACTGTGGAACCACCTAATTTCCTTAGGAAGTTGGTTCCATAGCCAGATTTCCTCAGTTGAGAAAGCTGATTCCCCACCTTTCCCATTTTACATCCCAGGCACTGTGCAAATATCTCAGCCTTTCAGAGATAGAAATTTGGCATTTAATGTAGTTGAAGATATCCATTGAAGTAGGCTGAACTATGAAAGGGTGACAATGAACAACTAAGAATAAGTAAAATAAGTAGGGCACCAATAACTTTTTTGTTATTGGTCCCCCAAAATTGTAAGGGTCATTCTTCTGGACCCTCTCCTCCTATGTCTAATTACAAAATTCAGAAGGTACGTTCAGAACTGTACTTTGAGATCCTTTAGTGAAAGGTATTTATACTTAATTATGGTGTATGAAAAGAATCCAAATACTTGTAGGAGTTTGAAATTTGCCAAGTTAACACCACAATTGCCTCACAAGAATGTTATCATTTTGTCTTACAGGTTATCAATACAATGCAAACAAAACATTCTTCTTAAATGGATACAAAAGTTTGTTTAGTAAACAGATAAATTAACATGAAAACATCCAAACACTCTTATGAAGTTTTTTGTCATTAGTCTTCTTTAAAATGTATTTACAAATGTACATAAAATATACCTGTGCTCTTGCTCAAATCATTTTGGGTACAAA